TTGGAGTCTTAGTCCTTCGCCCAGGCTGGAGTGCAGTGGTACACTCATGGCCACCCCCAGAGTCAACCTGTTGGGTTCTGATGATCGCTCCGCTTCAGCCTTCCAAGTAGCTAGAACTACAGGCGTACGCTATCATGCCTGGCTAATTTTTTATTTATTGCAGAGATGAGGTCTCACCAAGTTGTCTGGGCTGGTCTCGAACCTGTGGGTTCAGACAACCCAGTCCCCTCGGCCTCCGAAAGTGCTGGGATTACAGGCTGAGCTACTGAGCCTGGCCACAAACTATATTTAAAGGATAATGAGAAGAATAAAAACTGTCCTCTATTCTGTGTCTTTCTCCAAAAACAATCACTGTCAACATCTCATGTGTCTAGAAGAGATACCCCTGACACTGGCTTTGGTGATTGTTCTTTCTATGTATGCAAAAGAAAGCGCTGTGCTTTGTATGCTGTTCTGTCCTTGTTTATTTCACTTGCGCCTTCACAGGAGAGTGAGCTAAAGAGCTGCTGGGAGGACTTGTGGCAAGAACCAGAAAGTTGTTTGCTTCCCTTCAGTTCGGCTCTGTGGGCGCTGCAGGCCCTTGTCCCTGGGGAATGAGACAGCCTATTGTGTGGTCCTGCATCAGGCCAGTGCACTGTCCCTTGCACAGGGTGCCTGGGGCTGTGCTTCTGTGGTATGTGCCCATGTCCCACAGAGGTGGTCTCAATCAGACCATCTACAAAATGCATTTTTAGATTTGATTCTTGAAAATACACCTTGAACGTGGAGACTAGATAATATAATTTCTAAAGTGTTCAAAACCTGACAATAGATTTCTCTTTCTCACTAGTCCTGTGTATGGATTAAAGAGGGTCTTACAGGAAGCTTACTTTTATTGCTACTGGAAATAGAAATACCTTTTTAAAAAATTGATGCAGGCTTTGAATCTCTTGAGAATCACATGTGAGTACTGATTATGGGAAGGAGCTATAATCAAAAGGCATTTCAATAATTTCCGCTGTTTTCTAATGAAAGAGAAATAGATGTGGTTTTGTTCTTTTGGCATGTGACTAAAGATAGAAGTCAGCAAGTATCGGTGTTATTCTTCTGCATTAAGTTAAATGGAACTTCTCATTTTAAAGACACTGAAGTTTTTGGTAAATTCAGTTCTCAAGTCCCAAGTAATATAGCTGGGTGTTTATTTGTGCACATATTCTTCTATATGTGAAAAGAACATCTAATTAAAACAAATAATTAAGTTTAAGATTTCAAGTTATCCCACTTAATACACCCCCTACACCCCCAGTCATAAGGAACATGAGTTTTGAGGCATCTCATAAAATACTTACTGTTTGACTAAATCCCAGAAGTTTGTTTTTAATTCCATATTGTAAAAATTAGGATCAGAAGTTGTATTTGTTGACCAAAACAGTTTAATCCAGTGTACTTTGTAACAACATTAACTTATTTTTCTTTATCATGTTGATTTTGGAAGGATTGAATAAAGCCGCTACTTTACAGACTAAGGAAACAATTCTCTAATACATGTGGGGAGTATTACTAGAATAAAACTACCCCTAATTCTGCAAAGTTGTGCATGTAATGTCTTTTGATCACATATAAACCCAGGTGTCTAACAGCAGAGCAGGCAGAAGGAATCAAGGAGTACTTCTGCATAGCTTCCCGTTGACTTTCCCTCTTGGTGTGGGCTGGTGAGGAATTTCCCCAGCTAATTTAATTTTGTATTCCGTTTTCACTTTTCATTATTTCATACATCAATGTTCATAAATTGCAGTCTGTAGAATTTGTACATGAACTAGAAGAATTAACCAGCCCTATCCCATAACAATAAACTGCCATCGATGTGTGACCTTGCCCACTGTGATTCCAGCCATGTGCCATTTGTGCAGGGATGCCTGGGCTGTGCTCCCTTGAGAGCCTTCCTTGTGATCCTTACAGGTACAGGCTAAATGTGGATTAAATATCCACTCCAGATAATACCTTTGAAACAACTATTTGGTCCAATACCTTTCTAAAGGCCCCCTTGTCAGGCACCTTCCTTCCCCGGAGGTCAGTGACGGCAGGCCCTGCCTTTTGCTGTCTCCTGGCCCATGTGCCCATCCAGGCTCTCGTGAGCCTCAGACTCTTGTCATGGGCTGCGCCTTCTAGACTGTCTTGGGGTTCTGTGGACTTTCCTCTAAGGTCAGCACTAGACTTCTGATGAACTGAAAATGTATTTCTGACTTGTGGGAAACTTCATGGGTTTCCTCATCTGTCATGTAGGTGATTATATATGGATACATTTACAAAAATAAAAAGAGTGGGATTTTTTCCCTTCAACTTGAATATTATCCCTGTATATTGCATGAATGAGATTTTTGCATATTTCCATGAGAGTAAAAAATATACTTGCTTTAATTCTTAAGCATAAGTGAACATAATATAAAAATATATACTGAATTACTTGTGAAGAATGCATTTAAAACTATTTAAAATGTGTTTTTATTTGTAAGACAATTATAAGAAATTGGTTATTATGCTTACTGTTTTGATCTGGTGGTAAAGGTATTCTTAAGAATTTTCAAGTACTTTAGCTTTTTAAAACTGAATGAGAAAAAATTGTATAACCTGCTGTTCCTTTAGTGCAATACCATAAAACTCTGAAATTAAGACTCATTTTCAGTGCATTGTTGGAGATTACAAATAGCTATTTCTTGAACTTGCTTAATCCACAATAAAGACATATTATTGCCATTAAAAAAATAGTAGCCAGGCGTGGTAATGCACGCCTGTAGTTCTAGCTACTTGAAAGGCTGTGAGGTGGAAGGATCGCCAAAGCCTAGCAGGTCAACATTGGGGTGGGTGAGTGTGCCACTACCCTCCAGGCTGGGTGACAGAGTGAGACTCCAACTCAAAAACAAACAAACAAAAAAGGTCAGCACTAGAGAATTTGACATGACTCTTGTTTTTCTCAGGAGTTTGGCTGTTGTTTACTGGTCCTGTTGCTTAAGGTCTTTGGCACCTGGTGAGCTCAGCAGGGCAGCTAGCAGCATTTGTGTAACTAGGAAATGAGGGTGGGCGCAAGGGCAAAACTGCTGGGGAGAAGTTTTCCACCACCCCATGCCTGGAGCTCACACATTGTAAAGATGCTTATTATGGGGAGAAATATTTTTGTTGTCATCAGTAAATGTACATTAAGTGTCTGTAATGTAGATCATATAATAATGATGTTTGAATGCCTTTGTGTAGAATAAGAAAGTTTAGGCCAGTAGCTTTAACAACTAGGCTTTTTGGGTAGTTGAGATAATTTCCCTCAGGTGTGTTTCTATCGCCCCAAAAATAAAAAACTACTGTCAGTTAAATATAGATGTATATTATATTAACCCTATGACTATTACACAGAAGTTATAACATTGTTCCCCTGTGTAATTTGCATAGGAAATTGGGGTCTTGCATAAGCCATGTTTGCATGTGGGAACTAATTATATTCTTTTTTTTTTTTTTGAGAAAGCAGGATTTGTTGAGAGAACATAAAAGCTCCCACAGTGGGAGGGGACCCGCAGGGGTTGCCCTAATTATATTCTTAAGTGATTAAAGATGTTGGTAATTATATCTTCAGCTTTGTGATACTTTGGTCATGTTTATGATTAACAGCCAAGATCTTGCTCAGAAATGCAACCTCCATTTTTTTTTTTTTTTTTTTTTTTCTTACTTGGAGTCTCACTCTGTCACCCAGATTGGAGTACAGTGGCCGCTCCCGGCCACCGCAGCCTCGACCTGCTGGGCTCCGGCGATCCTTCCGCCTCAGCCTTCCAGGTAGCTGGAATTACAGGCGTGTGCTACCACACCCGGCTAATTTTTTTGATTTATTGTAGAGATGAGGTCTTGCCAAGTTGCCCAGGCGGGTCTCGAACCCGTGGGCTCAGGCAATCCACTCACTTCAGCCTCCCAAAGCGCTGGGATTACAGGCTGAGCCACCGAGCCCGGCTGCAACCTCCATTTTTTACATTCTCTTGGGAAAATAAGTTTGTTTAACAGTATAATATTGTTTTGACTCTGATTTCAGAAATAGTGTCTAGTGTGACTAGGGTGGGCGGCTTGCATTGAGCCTGATTTAGCCTGTACCTGTAAGGATCAAGATGTTGTTTCTGAGCCTACTGGGATCTCAGGCCCATTTTTGTAGAAGAACGTGTTATCACTGAACCAAAGGACTGCTGACACCCCACCGTATGCTTTTACGATTGGTGTGTGAGCATTTTGACATCGTTTGACCACTTAGGGATTCATGCTTATTGATACAGCTCTGAGATACTGGGTTGCCAAGTTGCCACTGTCCTGCTCCCTGAAGTGACTGCCCTAGAGTTTTCATGTGGTAGCTATTCTAAATGTCAGTCTTATGCTCCTGGGTTAGCAGGGAGACTCAGATTCTTTCATAAAAAATGCTTAGCAGTGTTTTCTTTCTGTAAAACTACCATATTTTCAGTAGTATAGTAGACATTGTCATATTCTACAAAGCCAGTAAATAATCATAATTATATTTTATTTACTTGGCCTTACATAGGCATTTTGTAAGTTCTGATGAATGCTAAAGGAAAGATCTCTGATTTATAATGAAATGATAGCTCTCAGATTTTTTTTTTTTCTTTTTTTTGAGTTGGAGTCTCACTCTGTTGCCCAGGCTAGAGTGCAGTGGCACACTCACAGCCACCCCAGCATTGACCTGCTGGGCTCCAGCGATCCTTCTGCCTCAGCCTTCCAGGTAGCCAGAACTATAGGCATGCACTACCACACCCAGCTAATTTTTGATTTATTGTAGAGACGAGGTCTTGCCAAGTTGCCCAGGCTGGTCTCAAACCTGTGGGCTCAGGAAATCCACTCAATGCGGCCTCCCAAAGTGCTGGGATTACAGGCTGAGCCACTGAGCCCAGCCTCTCAGATTTCCAATTTCCTTTTCGCACCTGCTTCATTAAGTTATTCCATAATTGTTTAGTTAATTTTTTGTGCTTATGTTTCTGTTTCAGATCTTGAGTTTCTTGAGGTGGCATTGAAGAGCACTAAGATCAGAAGATGAGTGAACTTGACCAGTTACGGCAGGAGGCCGAACAACTTAAGAACCAAATTAGAGTATGTCACTATGAGTATTTGTTTTTATTAATCATTTGGCTTTCAGTTCAGATGTTATCTGTTTTAGGAAAGATAGGTTACAGATGACTTACTTCTGTTTTAGGTTACAACTGAATCTTCCTTGGCCTAGTATGTACTAATTGTTAGATCCAGACACTTGGCCTACTACGTTGTTTTCAGAATTTTGGTTTCAGCATATTGTAATTTGTCATTTGAATATACATAAAGTGTCTCTATAGAGTTCATAAATGTCTTTTGCACTCTGTATCTTCACCATAGAAATGAGCTCTGTGATACCCTTGGCTACTGTATGGAACTGTGGTGTCTACCGCCCTCCCTTGGATCTTGGGACTATCAGGTTGATGGCTGGAAACTCGTTTAATAATAAGAATATTAACAACAATAGAAAAGTGTTTTAGGTGTGCCTGATGTATTTTTTTCTTCGTTTTGAAAGGGGATCTTCCCTAGAGATGATTATTGGAATGTACAACTTTGTTTTTTTGAGGCAGAATCTCACTCTCTCACCCAGGCTAGAGTACAGTGGCATGATCACTGCAGTCTCAACCTTCTGGGCTCAGTGATCCTTCTGCCTCAGCCTCCTGAGTAGCTGGAACTACAAGTGCACGCCACCACACTCAGCTAATATTTTGATTTTTTTTTGTAGGCCCTAGGTCTCACCATGTTGCCCAACTGGTCTCAAACTCCTGGGCACAAGTGCCCTTTCTCGGCCTCCCAAAGTGCCCAGACAGGAATGTACAACTTTTAATAGATTACTAGGTAAAGCAGTTATATTGAGTTGAAGATAAAAATAACTGTAATTAAACTGCACTAAACAAAAACTACCTTTCACAGAATTCTAAAACATTAAATTCTGGCCTGTGACTGGTAGAGAATGTCACACTACAGAGACAGAGTCCATGGACCTTTGTGAGGGAAGAGAGGTCTGAGGGAATGACTCCACCCCCTGTGAAGCAGGTGCTTTCATCAGACAGTTTATGCCCGTGTCTGTCCTCTCAAGAACACTATGATATGATGAGTAAGAGAAAGAGTTAGATTCCCCAGAAAAACCCAGGCTTCACTACGTCGATAGATTTTGTCCATTTGCTAAAAGTTTTCTCTGGGTTTGTTTGCATCTGTTGAACTTCAGCTATCCTTCAGGTGTCACTGTTCAGGAAGTTCATGGCATTTGGTGTGGTGAGTATAAGGATGAAGCCTAATTCTTTTCTTTTTTGAGTTGGAGTCTCACTCTGTCGCCCAGACTGGAGTGCAGTGGCCGCTCCCGGCCACCGCAGCCTCGACCTGCTGGGCTCCGGCGATCCTTCTGCCTCACCCTTCCGAGTAGCTGGAACTACAGGCGTGCTCTACTGTGCTCTACCATGCCCGGCTAATTTTTTGGTTTATTGTAGAGATGAGGTCTCGCCAAGTTGCCCAGGCGGGTCTCGAA